ACTATGTGTGCAAAGTAAGATGATTAAGCTAGAATACTATATGTCAGAAAACAATATAGCAGATCATTTTACAAAGGCCCAAAGCTCTATAAAGCATAAGGCTTGCTGCGAAGATTATGGACTTAGAATATAAGGTTGTATATATTGTCCTACCCAAAGGGGAGAATGTTAGGAATATAAGTCACCTAATAGCTATTTGGGTTGGAAATATGTAAACCAGGATAGACATTTTAATACTGTATCTTTAAGAAAATGCAAAAACTATAGTTGGGTGTGGTTTCTCAAATGGCCATAAGATGGAGCCAGAAACCTGGGTTGTTTAGTCTGAGTCTCAGAAGAGAGTGTGAGTAAGTCTCTGTTTCCTTCTGTTGGAGAGTATTGCCGTTCTTCCATTTTTCCTCATTTACTGTTGTTCTTGGATTTGATGTAAGTCTGATACTGAACTGTTTTTGACACTGGACTTTGTTATTTGATTATCCCTGGATGAAAACTGACTGATTTGACCTGTGAATGACTTTGGACTGTGTTTGAACTTTGTTTAAACCTTTCTGGAAGTAAAAACCTACATTTACTGTACAGTGTATCTGTGTGCTGTGTGTGTATTATTCAAACACTACTCTCAAATACGTCTCCCTGTATGCGCTCATTCTCCTAACAGGGAATTACCTCAACAGTATTGCTTGCACATAAAACATAAAGAAATAACAAAAATAAGTAATCTTCTCTCCTGCTGTTTTGTATATTCACAGGCTTTAGATATCTTTAAGTGTATTTTCTGCAAAGATGTTTATCAAAAGTAAACTGTACTAATTATTAATACATACTGCATTTCCATCAACTGGAGGTGATCTGGCATATCTAGATACTTTTTGAATAGAACCTTCTGCTTTGCTATTACCTCCAAAATTCCAATTGTTTTTGCACCTGGAGAATATGAACAAAATAAAAAATATTTTATGATACTTCATGCATTATTATTTTGCACCTAAGACTGATCTGCAATGAAGATTGACAATGAAATTCATTGGAGTTCAATGAACATCACCACTAGTGATGTATTGTAAATAAAGGCATCCAAGCAAACAACCAAGCAAGTTTAGAGGTCCTGCCCATACTATTCAAGGAGTTGATTCTGTACACTTATACATATTCAGCATATTTAGAGAAGTCAAAAGCCAGATACTGCATGATAGCAGATACAGCCATGTAATTCAAACAGATACATGGCAAATAAAGTGCATGTTAACCATTCTTTGGGAGATAGTGATCTGCTTTTTAAAGAAGAGGTATTCTTATCTATTACAATTTTCATGAACTGGAACAGTAATGCAATGTACATACTATAATAATAACTCTATCCTATCCTATTCTATCAGGGGTGGGATCCTACCGGTTCAGGTGAACCATATGTTAAATTTGCATCTGGTTCTTTGAACTGGTATTTGAACTGACCTGCTGGCCTCCCTACCCCTCCCTACGAGTCTCCATGCAGCCCATTTTCGATGCAGGTAAGTGCAGGGTCCAGCGGAGGCTCTGGAAGAGGGAAAACAGGCCTTCTGGAAGTACCAGAAGTCTAGAAATGAGCTTGTTTCCTGCTTCTGGAGGGCCTCCAGAGCCTGGGGAGGCTGTTTTTGCCCTCCCAGAGGCCCAAGGAAAGCCTCCCGACCCTTGGGAAGGCAAAAAAAATGGCCCTCCCGGAAGTACCAGAAATCCAGAAATGGGCCTGTTTCTGGCTTCTGGAGAGCCTTCAGAGCCCAGGGAAGGCTGTTTTCACCCTCCCAGAGGCCCAAGGAAAGCCTCCCGACCCTTCAGAAGGTGAAAAATGGCCCTCCTGGAAGTTCCAGTAGGCCATGGCCACCATGTCGATGCCCACCCAGAAACTTGGCAGTGAACCGGTTGCCTGGATGTTTGAATCCCACGCCTGTATCCTATAGTATACACTATACTATATACTATACCATACACTAGTACACTACACTACATTAT